CACTGCCCCGCTCACCCGCTGGCGCCGTGGCCGGCGGCTTCATCAGCGTCGCCAGCTCGTCCGGCGATGGCACCGTGGGCACTGTGGACACCGACGGCACCGTGGGCATCGAAGGCTCCGTGGGCACCGACGGCACTGTGGGCACCGATGGCACTGCAGGCACTGACGGCACTGTCGGCACCGACACCTCCGTGGGCACCGAAGGCTCCGTGGGCACCGACGGCACTGTGGGCACCGATGGCACCGAAGGCTCCGTGGGCACCGACGGCACCACAGGGACTGATGGCACCATGGGCACCGATGGCACCAGTGGTGCTGCAGGCACCGATGACACCGATGGCCCCGTGGGCACCGTGGGCACCGGAGGCTCCGTGGACATTGATGGCACCGCAGGCACTGATGGCACCGATGGCACCATGGGCACAGATGGCACCACGGGGACTGATGGCACCATGGGCACCGACGGGACCACAGGCACCAGCGTCCCGGGGACAGTGCCGGGTTGAGCAGCACCTGGGGCGAGGAAGAGGATGGCAGCAAGAGAGAGGATGGCGGGGGACCCCAACCCCCCGAGCACGGGCAGCGAGCGGGCACCTTGCGGCGTGGGCACGGGGCCCGCGGCGGGCGACGGCCGCTCCGTGGGGGGCTCCGTGGGCGACCCTGCCGAGGAGGAGGCTGCAGAGGGAGGAAGGCCCCGGGCGCCCCCCGCGCGGCGCTGCCGTGGGGCGCCCCACACCTGGCCCGCAGCCCAGCAGCTCGGCGCGCAGGAAGATGCCCCTGTGGAAGCGCTGCGGCAGGATGCGCACGTGCCGGGCCTGCACCATGCGGCCCAGCAGCCGCGCCACCGGCGTCGCCGCGTCCGCGTTGCCCTCGAAGAGCTGCGGGGAGAGCGAGCGTGCAGCGAGCGACGGTGTGTGCGGCATCGGGGCCAGGCATGCAGCGACACACGCCGTGTGTGCACCGACACACACCGTGTGTGCACCGACACACACCGTGCGTGCACCGACACACAGTGTGTGCACCGACACACACCGTGCGTGCACCGACACACACCGTGCATGCACCGACACACGCCGTGTGTGCACCGACACTCCTGGTGTGCACCGACACACGCCGTGTGTGCACCGACACACACCGTGCGTGCACCGACACACAGTGTGTGTGCACCGACACACCTGGTGTGCACCGACACACAGTGTGTGTGCACCGACACACAGTGTGTGTGCACCGACACACCTGGTGTGCACCGACACACACCGTGTGTGCACCGACACACAGTGTGTGTGCACCGACACACCTGGTGTGCACCGACACACAGTGTGTGTGCACCGACACTCCTGGTGTGCACCGACACACGCTGTGTGTGCACCGACACACACCGTGCGTGCATCGACACACACCGTGCATGCACTGGCACACACTGTGCATGCACCGACACACAGTGTGTGTGCACCGACACACACCGTGTGTGCACCGACACACAGTGTGTGCACCGACACACACCGTGTGTGCACCGACACACAGTGCGTGCACCGACACACACCGTGCGTGCACCGACACACACCGTGCATGCACCGACACACAGTGTGTGTGCACCGACACACACCGTGTGTGCACCGACACACAGTGTGTGCACCGACACACCTGGTGTGCACCGACACACAGTGTGTGTGCACCGACACACAGTGTGCGTGCACCGACACACACCGTGCATGCACTGGCACACACTGTGCATGCACCGACACACAGTGTGTGTGCACCGACACTCCTGGTGTGCACCGACACACACCGTGTGTGCACCGACACACCTGGTGTGCACCGACACACACCGTGCGTGCACCGACACACACCTGGTGTGCACCGACACACACCGTGCATGCATCAGTGTGTGCGGCATCGGGGCCAGGCATGCAGCGACACACACCATGTGTGCACCGACACACAGTGTGTGTGCACCGACACACACCTGGTGTGCACCGACACACGCTGTGTGTGCACCGACACACAGTGTGTGTGCACCGACACACACCGTGCGTGCACTGGCACACACTGTGCATGCACCGACACACACTGTGTGTGCACCGACACGCACCGTGCATGCACCGACACACCTGGTGTGCACTGACACATACTGTGCATGTATCAGTGTGTGCAGCAACGGGGCCAGGCATGCACTGACACACACTGTGCATGCACGAGCACACACTGTGCATGCACTGACACACACTGTGTGTGCACCAACACACACCGTGCATGCACCGACACACACCATGCACCAACACACACTGTGCATGCATCGGTGTGTGCAGCAACAGGGCCCATGCATGCACTGACACACCTGGTGTGCACCGACACACACTGTGCATGCACTGACACACACCATGCATGCATCAGTGTGTGCAGCAACGGGGCCAGGCATGCACCGACACACACCTGGTGTGCACCGACACACAGTGTGTGTGCACCGACACACACTGTGTGTGCACCAACACGCACTGTGCATGCACCGACACACACTGTGCATGCATCAAAATATGTCCACCAACAGGGCCCATGCATGCGCCAACAAACATTATGCATGCACCAATGCACACCATGTGTGCACCAACACACACACCGTGCATGCAGCAACACACACTGTGCATGCCTCAGTGTGTGCAGCAGCAGGGCCCATGCATGCCTCAACACACGCCTGGTGTGCACCAACACACACTGTGCATGCACCAGCAAGCACCGTGCATGCACCAGTGCCCCGCTATGCTTGCACCACAGCACCCCCCGGTGCATGCAGAGCCCAGGGCTCTCCCAGTCCTGGGATGGGGCCAGTAATGGCCTCGAAGCCGCTGGGCCGCAGCACCCCAGCCTGCAGCCTCCCAGCAGCGCACCCACACGCGTGCATGCCCACGTGGGCATGCCCACGGCGGGCACCTTGGGCTCGGGGCGGCCGTGGGCAGCCGCCTCGCGGTACAGGTGCCAGCGGGTGCCGTCGGCGCTGAGCTGCAGCAGGAAGGCGGTGACGTAGGCGTCGCCGGAGCCGGCGCCCTGCACCACCACGCCTGCGGGCGGACACGGTGTGCGTGAGCGCGGCGCGGAGCGCGGCGCGCGGCAC